TGCTCGCTGAGGCCGTGAGTACCCGACCTCACCCTACCCTACCCCACCCCTTCCCTCCCCTCCCCTCCCCGCGGCCGGGGACCCATCGCCCGCCGCCTTGTGCGGCCCGGGGGCGGCGGCGCTGCGGGTCTGAGGGCGGCGCGAGGCCTGGCCCGTGCACAGCCCTTACACCAGGGCCCCCTGCTCTTCCCTCAGCATCTGCTGGCTCAGGAAGGAGGTGGTTGTGGGCCCGTGCCCTGCTCCCCTCATCCTTCCCTGACACCCTGCCCTTGGGTCTGACCTGCACAGCCACCCCAAGCGATGCCTTTCCTTAGCCAGGATGCTCTTGTCACAGAAATACTGGCTGTGTTTCATTTGAGCACCTTGGGGAAAAGCCTGGGCAAGTTGAGCTTAGTGAAACTGGGGGCTGGACCCCCACCAACACAGCCAGCTGGGGACTTAGAAGGATGAAGACTTAATTTGTATTTGGCCAGTCCTTTGTCAGGCACTGTCCGTGTGAGTGCCACCTGTGTGCTGTGCCTAAATCTTAGGGCTGCTGGCCGGGTAGTGTAGCTTGCTTCCCTTCTTTGGTTGACCTAGAAAGAGTTCAGGAAGTGGCCTGGAAATGCCACAGCCTTTTGCAGCTGAATATTGTAAGGTACTCCACCTGGGAAGGAGGAACCCCCAGCACACCTATAGGTTAGGGAGTGTCCTTCTCAGCAGCTCGGAAGCAGAGAGGGATCTTGGAGTCATAATTGACTCCAAGATGAACATGAGCTGGCAGTGTAACGAGGCCATCAACAAGGCCAATTGCACCTTGTTGTGCATTAGCAGGTGCATGACTAATAGAACAAAGGAGGTGATGCTCCCCCTCTATGCGGCACTGGTCAGGCTGCAGTTGGAGTACTGTGTCCAGTTTTGGGCGCCGCAATTCAGGAGGGATGCGGGGAATCTCGAGAGGGTCCAGAGGAGGGCCACTCGCATGATTAGTGGCCTTTGTGATAGACCCTATGGGGGGAGGTTGAGAGAGCTGAATCTCTTCAGCCTTCACAAGAGACGGCTGAGGGGAGATGTCACCGCCTATAAATTTATTGGGGGATGTCAGCGGGGAATAGGGGAAGCGCTGTTTCCAAAGGCACCCCAGGGAGTGACTAGGAGTAACGGGTGTAAACTAGTTGAGAGTGGATTTAGGTTAGATGTTAGGAAGAAAATTTTCAGGGTAAGGGTGGCCAGGATCTGGAATGGGCTTCCAAGAGAGGTGGTGCTATCACCTAGCTTGGAGGTCTTCAAGAGGAGGCTAGTCACCTGGCTGGGGTCATCTGATCTCAGTCCTCTTTCCTGCCAGGGGCAGGGGGTCAGACATGGTTCATTGTGGTCCCTTCCGACTCTACAATTTATGAATCATCTTGGCTCTTGTGGGTCTGGCGTATGCCATTCGGTCAGCAGCTTGACAGGAGATGAAACCTGTGCTCTGAGCTATCAAAACTGCCAACAAAATGTGGACTAGAGTGATAGGATTGTGTTGGGAGGATTTATATGCTACTGCTGCTTCTACATCAGGGCATGCTGTGGCACCATTTGGGCACCACAGCAGTGCAGATTGGTATCTGTGATATTTTTCTGACTCCTTTGTCTCTTGAGGACTCTTCTGAAAAATATAAAGGATGTCTTTGGCAATCCCTCACAGTTAAAGATGATTGTCTTCCATGATTGCATGTCTGAAGATGGCTGATGGGGCCTATCCGGGTTCAACAGTCTCTACTGCAGCTCAGATGTATTTATGTCTGGGGTGGGTGACGCTGGATTCTTGAGTGTAGGCCTGGGACACCCTGCTTCTGCCACTCCCACTATTCCATCTCCTGTTATTGTCATGAGGTTTCAAAGTACTGAGATCCATGCAGCTCCATTTAGAGCGGTCCTGTGTGATAGTCTCCCACGAGCTGACATAGGTTGCATTTTTTTAAGTTGGCCTTGAGGATGTCCTTGAAGCATTTTATCTGCCCTCCTCCTGAGCATACACCTTACATAAAGGATGTAAATAATGGCTATTTAGGAAATTCATACACATGATGTACCTCCCCAATACACATACCTCATTGGGCTTTGCAGCAGCGCTGCAGCTAATGCCTAAGCAACATCTATGCCTCTGCAATATGAAAAGAACAAGATTATTAGGAAGTTGATAAATAGAAAGGCGATCATTCATACCACCTGGTATTATTTGGTAAATCTGTTTACCTCTTGGTAATATTTCAGTAAGCATCTGTTTCTCTCCCAAGAAGTGATGCATCTGTGGGAGATCTGTTGTGTTATGAGGGAATAAGGGAAGGGGAAATTCACTGGGTTGTATAGAAAATCTTGGAGGGATGTGATCTCTTCAGCATATTTCTTCCTCTTTCTCTTAGAAGGAAGCATGAGAAAGACAAGAGACAAACTAGTTTCAAAACAAGAACAGGAGGAAAAAAACAACATTAAAAGTAAAAAGTTGAATGGCTTTTAAAAAAAAAAAAAAAAGACAAAAGACAACACTTAAGTTGGGTGGAGTTGCAGACACTCTAAAGAGTAGAGCTAGGATCAGAATGACCTGGATAATTTGGAAAATTGGACCACAATCAGGTCAGTGTGATTCAGCAAGGACAAGTGCAAAGTCATATACGTGGGACAAAATACTTGCATGCATGTACAAATACAGGTTGGGGAATGAATGATTGGTTAGGCTGCATAACTGCAGAAAAGGACTTGGAGGTTATTGTGGACCATAAGCTGAATATGAGCCAACAGTGTGATCTTGTTGCAAAAAAAGCCAATTATGTGCAGGGTTGTATTAATAGGAGTGTCACTTGCAAATCAAGGGAAGTGATTTTTCCACTCCCTTCAGCACTGAGGCTTTTCCCAGAGTGCTATGTCCATTCTTGCCTCCCCCTCTCCCCCCCTTCAAAAAGCATGTGTATAGATTGGAAAAAGTCCAGCAGAGAGCAACAAAAATAATTAGAGGCCTGGGAAACATGACTTGTGAGGAAAGTCTGAAAGAGCTGGGGTTTGGTCTGCAGAAGAGAAGATTGAGGGAGGCTTTGATAAAAGTCTTCAAATACCCGAAAGACAATTATAGTGGGGATGGAAATAATAGCTCTTTAGGAAATTCATACACACTATGTACATCCCCAGTGTATATACCTCATTGGTATACTTCATTTACAGCAGTGCTGCAGCTAATGCCTAAGCTTTTCTCTGTGGTTGTAGGGGACAGAACTAGGAACAGAGTCCCTCAAGAGTCAGCAGGGAAATGAGGTTAGAGATTAGGATGAACTTTCTGAATATGAGACGGGCCAAGTATTGGAACAGGTCACTGGGAGAAGGTGTGGAATCTCCATCCTTGGAACTTTTTAAGAGCAGACAGTTGGCTGGGATGGTTTAGTCAGTGATAATCCTGCCTGGAGCAGAGGGTTGGACTAGATGACTTTGTGAGGTCTCTTCCAGTTTTCCTTTCCTAAGGAATTAAGGTTTTTAACAACTTTGAGTAACCATGTAGAGATAGCAGTATTCAGCAAAATATAAGCCCACCAATGGCTTGGCAAAACTTCTAAATGATACTTTTTACTCTCCAGTATCATATTTGCAGGTGTGAGGACATAGCCCTCACACATTATCATAATCTTCATGAAGTAATGTTGGTAGGCAGGAATTTCTTTTTACAGCTAGGGTAAGTTGTACCTTCCTGCTTTTCTGCTCCTTTTAAAGTGGTGCTATTTCTGTTAGTTGTTTGCAATATATTATTACAGGGTTTATTGAGCTGGGCACCACACAGTCGATCTCTGCTCCAAAGAATTTTCAGTAGAGGAGAGAGAATATGAGAAGGGTTTTAAGATACAGGAAGGGTGACCATTTGCAAATGTCTTATTATTGTATTAATTGTAGGGAGAATATCACATCTACTCTGAAGGCTGTGCTCACCTCCAACTTACTACTTGGTGCAGTGTCATTTTTGGTCTATAAACTCTTCTGTGGTTTGTTTCTGTCTTTTTAAGAGGCTGACCTGGCAAAATTGCCATGGTTGATGAAAACAACAAGAATTTGCAAACTGGTGGAAGAGTCCAGATTCAGTAATTTTCTTCAATTCAGTAATTATTCTCTCAGGTTTTTGTTGTAGGGGGATGAATCCACATGTGCAATTAATACAATGTAGTTAACTGTACCAGAGTTGGCTGCTCCCAGGTGCAGTGTTTACACATGCACCTGGGACCGCAGCATGTTGAGCCAGGGTGGAGCAGCCCCAGTCCAGCAGGGGACTGAGGGGGTCAGCCCCAGGCTTCGGGTGGCTGCATTGGGCAGCAGAGGGGCTGGCTGAAGCTAGCCAGCAGGCAGCCCCTACACTTTAGCACACTTGTGCCCCAGCCAGTTCCTGTTACAATATGCATGCGTGCTTGATCACATGCAAGTACTTTGCCATACTATCTTATGGCAGAGTTAATTTACTGCTCCCTAATACCAGCACATGCTCTACTGAGGAGCTGATTAGTCTACTCTGCAGTAAATTGTATGTGTAGACATACCCAGGATGTAGGACCTGGCACCCAGTCCAATATCCTGTATATCACAGTAAGCAGTATCAGATGCTTACAAAGGAGGTACAGAAACACCTTGGAAAAAATTGTCCCCACATAGAAATCATTCTGATTTCTATGAGTTAGAGGTTGGCTGAACAAGATTTATTATCTCTTCCAAAATGGGATGTCACTAATTCTGAGCATTTTGGGTCTCCTTAACATTTATACAAATGTCCAGTATCTTTTTTAATTTTGTTAAGGTCTTGGTCTTAGTGAGTTTCTGTAGGAGCAAATTCCACAGTTTAATCCCAGATTGTATGGAAAAATGTTTCCTTTGATAGGTTTTTAATTTCTTTCAGTTCAGAAATCTTTCATTTTCTATGCATGTCCATTTGTTCTTGCGTTATGAAACAGGGAGATCAGAAGTTGTCAGTCTCTGTTTTTATATCATGTACTGTTTTATATACTTTTACTTTGTTTCTTTTCTAAATTGCTGCTTTTTCAGTCTCTACATATGCCTTTTTCCATGTTCTTGACCATTCTGATTACTCTTCTCTAAATCTTATCTTTTCTGCAGTATCTTTTTTGAGATGTGATGACTGGTTCTGAACACATTATCTCAGCTGTGGCTACACCATTGATTTATATGAAAGCATTATAATACTGTTTTTATTATTCATCATCTTGTGCCTTTGCATCCTAACACCTCTAGCTGTCTTTGACCACAATTGCACACAGTGCAGAGGTCTCATTGAGTGGTCACAGTGATTCCAGCTTCCTTTTTTAGATGATAAAATTAATTTTAAATCCTCTAATGTATATGCATAGCTTAATTTTATCCATCCAGTACCCATTAATTTACATGTATCAATGTAGAATGTCATTTGCTGTTGTCTTTTCCATTCACCTAGCTTGACTGAGTCCCTCTGAAGGTCTTTAAAGACTGTACTAGAGTTAGCTAACCTCAATTGACTCTGTCATTGTCCCTAAATATAGCTACCTTATTGGTTACTCCCCTTTCCAGATTATTAATAAATGTATTGAACAATACCCAGAATGTAGTAAAAGACTTTGAGGTTCTTAAATTCACCATTTAATTGTATTTTCTTTCTGCCTCAGCTAATTTTTCATTCATGAAAATACTTCGTCTTTCATCCCATGACTAGTTAGGCTTCTAGTAGCCTCTTCCATGAATCTGGTCAATTTGGGGGGGGAAATCTAAATATGTGGACTGGTTCTCCTTCCTCTACTATTTCTTGGCTTATTTGTAGAATACTAAGGCATTAGTGAGACATGCTTTTCCTTTGCAGAAACTGCTGGTTAGACTTGGTTATATCAAAATCTTTCAGATGTCCTCCTTTTACCATTTTTATTGACATTTCAAAAAATTAGCTGGGAACAGGTATAGAATTTACAGGCCTCTAAATTCCCTTCATCACCCCAAAAGCTGTTTTTTTAAATATAGGTAGAACACTTCTTTGGAGTAGTCACTTTGTAGGTAAAATATGGGGAAAGTAGTCAGCTTTCTTACTGGGTTGGAGAGACTACTTGAGTTGATGGGGCAAGTATGTCTTTTATTTTGAAATACTCTAGGTGTATGGGAAGATTAAATAAATCCATGTATAAAATGATTTGGAGGATGTGGTAAAATGAAGAGGTCTGTAAGAGGATATAGTCACTTTGCATTATATTGTGTGTGTGTGTATGGGAGGGGGAATACATGTATTTGTCCAATGAGTTTAGCCCTGTTTAGAAAGTAACAACTGCATTATTTTTTGTTGTTGTTCTTAAATTGGCAGTGAAGCACCATGGTGATTATTATGCTGTCATCATTTTTCTTCATTAAGCTTACTGGTCATGTTGTTTTAAATTATTTTCAGGTACAGAGCCGGGATGGCTATGATTCTGATTTTAGTGATGATGAGAAAGGAGAGAAATCTGTCAAAAGGTAATTGACCCTGTATTTTATTTTGTTTTGTTTTTTCAAAAAGACATTTCTGTAAACCAGAGACCCTGGCATAGTGGGTTAACTCTGATATTGAAACTGTTTATGAAAAATAAGACTAAACGTTTGATTCCTGTGTCTCTTGCTCCTCAGGCTTGTCAGAGCATGTTGTCTTCAAGGAGCAACTGAGAAATATCAGTTTTGCTACATCCATCTGGTGTCTCTATGCCTCTTGTTTCTCACAGCTGAGTGCTTCATTTTCCAAGCATTAGCATCAACTGCTGGGGTTTGGCTGCTCTGTTTACTTTCCTATCATTTTTCTACACCCATCAGGACCTGTGGAACTGCTCAGAGAGATCAAAGCAGCCAAGGCCAGGTGTTAGCAGGCTTTGTAGGAATAAAACACCTGCTTGAAGAAAATGAATTGCTGATGCTGCTTGATTGTTACTTCATTTTTTCCAGCCCATTTTCTGTGACAAACCTGAATTCAAAAGACCTAGGAAATGGATCAAATTGTACTTAGCCCTTGAGATGTAAAAAAAAATAAATAAAAAAAATTCCCTTCTTAAAATCCAATTCCTTGTTAATTTCTTCAATGGTTTATACAAATTGCCACTCTGAACTTTGCATTTTTACTGCCTTCTTTATTGGGGAAACTTTTGGTGCTATGTAAGTGTGCTTCCCTAACCATTTGTCCACAGTACTAAAATTTTTGGTTGTATTGAGCTTTATTTTTCCTCAAGGACTTTTTTATTCTTCAAGCCTTCTCCTTGCTTATCAGACTCGATTACAATCAGGTTTTGAGCACAATGCATTTTTTTTTCTTTAATGGTGGTGAAGGGAAATGTTTTGTATTGGATTCATTTTGGGCCTGACCTTCAAAGTGCTTTACTCACTACAAGAAATTTAGCCATTGTGATGGGTTGTTTTAGATTTTGTAGCTGTTCTCTATTAAAAAATATTCAAGGTTTTAGTTCAGTCTTAGTTTGTTTTTTTGTAAGTGCCATTATGCATTGCATCATGCAAATTGCCAAATTAAATATTCAACACTGGGAGCTGTTTCAAAGAAATCATCTTCTTTACCATTTGTTCTGGCATACTCTTTCTGGCTCTCAGTAATGTTCTAATGAAGGTTCACTGCCTTGTGTTGAAATGTATTCCCATGTTTGCAAAAATATCTAAAAAATCTCCCTTATGGCATTGCCTTTGTGGAGCCATTCCTTGCTTCCATCCCTCCCTGCAGTAGGAATTGTGTGCCCACCCACGTAGTCCAAGATGTTTGTGAGCAATTGGTGCATCTAATTCTCTAAAGTTCCATAGATTAAAAATACAAATACTCTGCTTCCTGCTTCATGGGTCTCTGACTTCCTCTCTGCCCAACAATTGGGGCCAGGATAAAACTAATTACTCCTTTGCCCAAAATGATGGACAAATAGGTCTAACTAAATATGTAAGGTTTAGGCTAAAAAGGCCTCCATTTTATTATTTTTACTATTTTGTTAATTTTTTAAAAACATTTTCAGTTTAGGAACTAGCAGTGCTTATCAGCCCACAGCTTTAGAGGGGTCAGTGTTAGTAAATCTGCTACCGTGGAGTTCTGTGGGGACAATACCATAAGAGGAAGAAAAAAAGCATTATTGACAGTAATTTGCCTCTAAACATGTTAGTTCTCTAGAACCTTCCTTTCTCTTCTCTGTTTTGGAACGTAGGTCTATATAGGGACTTCAGAGGTAGAGAGAAGCAAGGGAGTATTAAATGAGATGCTCTGGTCCTTGGCCTATGTAATATAGATCTTGAAGGAACTGGACAGGTCTGCTATCTCAGCAGATGCTCCATATGGTTCACTGGCTGTGTGGCTCTTAGGCAGTGATTCTGAAAGAGACAATATTGTTGGAAAATAAAAGGTGATCTCTTAAGGGATTCTGTATCTGCCACTTAGAAGCGGGTGCCTTTCTAGACTTGATTTTTAATACGAACCTAATGACGTAAATCCAGACTCACCACTGTCTTTCAATTTGATTTTATTAACACAGAAATTAATAAGACAGATGATGCTACACCATACAACAATGCTATATCATTAAAACTTTTTATGTTCAAGTTGGTGGGTTTCAAAACTCCATATGGCGTGTTAGAATATATCGTATATGGAAATTATTGACTAATTCTTTGCTTTTTCCTCCCCCATAGAACAAGTAATGAAGATGCTCTTCTTGTAAAGCCATTCCAGAAAGTAAAACAGTGCAAGGTGGCACACCGACAAGTTGCAGCAGAAGAATGGGATAGGTATTGGTCACTTTTATCAGAGACTGTTTTTATAAAAACGGAACATTTACTCAAACAAAATAACTATTTCTGCTCCTAGGGAAGAAGCAAGAAACAGGAGATTTCATTTGATATCCATGGATGCTGTATCCTTTAATTTTTTTTGTTTACATGAGCAAAAACAAGTTTTTTCTCAGTTTTTCACTTGGGGGTAAATCTTCTTGCCAGAAAAATTTAATGCGAGTCTCCCAGTTACCTGGAAAATTTCTGTGCAGTTGCAGAACTTGGGTGTTGTTTCAAATAACTTTTTCTTTGCCATTATGGTCTAGGTCAGGGGTGGGCAATTATTTTGGGCAGAGGGCCGCTTACTGAGTTTCATCAAGCTATTGAGGACCGCATGACTGGCAGCCCAGGGCAGATTAATATTAATTTTCTAAATTTTTTAGGGGCCCCACGGGCCAGATAGAATGGCCTGGCAGGCCACATCTGGTCCCCGGGCTGCATTTTGCCCACCCCTGGTCTAGGTATTTCATATTTGCCTGTGTAAGGTGTTTCTAAATTCACCCTAACATAATCAGTGCTTAAGCTGCAGCATATTTCTGACTAGATTATTACATGCATTGAACAGGTTTCATTTTGGTTGTAACAACCAGCCTTGGTCCTTCAATTTCCCTTTCTTCTGAATGTACCCAGAAAGTAACTCCATGTGAAGCTAACATTATCTAAGTGTACTTATTTGTCCTGGAAGACCAGAAACCCAGTATCTAGTTCAAACTATTCAAGAAAGCATAATTTTAGGTAATGCCTTTTACACATATTATGCTACAGACCAATTTAACAATATTTTTGAGCCAGACTGTCATGTCTGATTATTTTTGTACTTCAGTCTTCAACTATTATTTTGCTGAATTACAAAATGTCTCCTGTAAAAATAATTTCTCTTTGTATGAAGTTTATCACAGAAATAATTATTTCAGTGATGAAACCAACTTCTAATGTAGGGGTCAGCAACATACACAGAGCCACAGGGCCTGTGCTGGGGCTGAACAGCAAGGAGCTGCTCCAAGGCTAGGGAACTGGAAGCTACGCCCATGTTGCTGCTGCTTCTCTCTGCCCTCTCTTTTGTCCTTTTCCAAGGCTGCAGCACTGGTGCATCTTCCAGCTGGAGGGGAGCTGGAAGCTGTGCTTGTGCTGCTGACACTTCTTGCTACCCCTCCCCCCACTTTGCTCCTCCACCCAAAGGCTGCTGTTTGAGCGCACTTCTAGCCAGTGGTGTGTGTGCCAGGGTCGAGCTGGTTTTAGGAGGTGCAGAAGGGAAGAAGTGGCAGCAGTATGGAAACAGCTTCCAGCTGGGCTCTGGTGCAGCTCCCCTCTACCAGAAGCTATGCTCATGCTGTAGCTAGGGAGAAGGAGGCTGGGGAATCGGCAGTGGCACAAGTGCAACTCTCAGCTGTATGGCTCTGGTGGGGGTGCAGGGAAAGCCCTGCTGCTGCTGCTGCGCTGCTAAAGCCACTTGGCCCATATTGGACAGGGGCTGGATTGTTCCAGCCTGAAGCTTGAAAAAGCTTGCAGGCCCCTGCCAGGGGGGAAAGTGAAAATTTAGCAGTAGAGAATGCAGCATTTTGTGGTCCATTATACCCATTCACCTGAGTTAAGAAGAATGTGACCCACAAAACATGGTTTTGTGATTTGTCACACTGGAATATGTTGTTAGTAATGTATTGTATTTTATGGGTTGCTAGTCTGCTTGGTAAATATATACTACAAGACCTGTCTATGATGGTCTTTACATTCTGACTTGTTTATGGTTATGGTTATGGTTACTTTGGTCTTTTATGATCAGCATATATGGATCTGTTTCAGGATCCTACAAAATAGAATAGGAAGATTTTGAAAAGAGTTATATTTTTTCTACATGCATTAAAAACCCAGCCAGACTGCTTGACACCGACTCACGAGCACAGAAAAATGACCGAAATCTTTCCTTGTTACTTGTCAACATTTGAAAGAATTCTATGTAAGTATAGTATTATTGATTTTTATCATAATTTAGTTTCCCAGTAGCTGAAGTGACTTGTTCATCAGTTTCTGCCACTTAATTGATATTTACCCATCAACTAATTTGACAAGTGTTGGTGTGTTTTTTTTCCCTTTCTCCAACTCTTCATTTTCAAGAAACTAGTGTCTATTCAAATCTTTCTTGTGACAGACAATACTTTAAACTCAAGGCAGTTTTCATTTTTTCTTTACATATTTTATAGAGGTGCACTAATACATTGGTCCGATATCAAATCAGCACCCACATAAAGAAAATTAACTGTAACAGAAATCGGCCTGATATAGCCAATAATTTGGCCAGATCAACACCCCTGTGGTGAGGGAGGGAGGGAGTGGGGCTGGGGCTGGGCACTGCCCAGCCAGGGCAGGCCACGGGATGGAGCTGCAGCTCATCCAGGGGGATGTAAGGAGTGCGGGGTGGCTCCCGCTGCTATGTGCACCCCTGGAGGGCATGGAGGGGGGTGTGTCCCTGGATCTGCATGGGCGGGATGGGCAGCTGCAGCCTCGTTTCCCCACCATGTCCTCCCAGGATGCGCATAACCGTGAGAGCCACCCCCCCCCCCCCCCCACCGGCCCGGCTGGGCCCCCGCC